ACCCTATCAGGGGCGTGATCACTAAAGCATCCTCATGAGGATGGTGCAAGCGAGATGCCTCTTTCTCGCAGAAGGTGATTGGTTCCTCCTTTCTGGCTTTTTGAGGTCGCTGTGAAGTGTTCATTATCCTGATCGGGTCATGGTGCGCTTCTCGGGCATACCTTTCCTGCGCTCCTCGCGTGTTTCCTGCGAGGTGCGGACCTCCGAAAATTATATTTACACTGCTATACCCGCTGCGATCACGACGCTTTTTCTTTCGCTCCCCTTGGTTTTCTTTTGGGGAGTCATCAATGTACTCCTTGAAGTGCCCCTTCTTGATAAGCTCTTCGATAGCCTGCTTTAGAGCTCGGCACTCATCAGTGAGATGCCCATTATCCCGATGGTAACGGCAGTATTTTTTGCTGTTTCTGGCCGTAGTAGGGGTTTTCATGGGTTCGGGCTCACCGAGCAGGCTGGCCTCCTCGAATTTATCGAGGATTACAGATATGGACACATTCAGCGGAGTGTATTGAGTCCCGTTGCGGACGCGACGAGGAACAAGAGCATAGGATTTTTTCTGCTCGTAGCGGGGTTTCTTCCCTTTTTGCTGATCGTCAATGTCTCCTTTGCGATCAGCTCGCCTGTTATCTTCCCAACCAGGCATACTGCTGGAGGTGCCGTGATCGCGATGGCGGAGTGCCGCCAATGAATTCTCTATTCGGAGATACTTTTCTGCCAGGTTGTAGAATCTGGTGAGGGAAATACCGTCCTCAGCCTACAGTTCTTTCCACAGGTCGGTTTGCGGGTGAACTCCAGCTATTATAAGAGTTCGGATGGAATCTTTTGGAGCATGAGCCACCTTGTTGAGTTCCCTGTGGAAGCGATCAATGTAAGACTGCAGGGATTCATCTCTTTCTTGCCTTATGTTGCTGAGGTAGCTCAAAGGCATTGAAAATTTTCGATTGGCTTGGAAATGCCGCAGGAACGTTGTGCTCATCTGAGGCCACGAACTGATCGATCCTGCTGGGAGCGACCTTAACCACCGCTTGGCGTGAGAAGTCAGCGTCACGGCCAAACAACGGCATTTTGCAAGGTCCGAAACCTGGTGGAGCTCCATCAGGTCGTTGAACTCATATAAATGATCCTGCGGATCGTAGTTCCCATCAAACGGCCGCATATCTGGCATTCTGAACCCTGGTGGAAGTGGAGCAGCTAGCACTTCAGGAGAAAAAGGGGATGCAGAGGCGACCTGCACCTGTTCATTTTGCTGCTCCCTTAACCTGTCCAGAGCTCGCTGCAGCTCCTCAATTTGTGGTAACGGAGCCAATTGGGGGTTGGTTTCACCCGTGCGAGCCCGGCCTTCTCGGTTGCGGTTCAGGAAAGTCTGGAGGTCGGATTCCTCCTCGCCCTGGCTAACATTTTCGGCCGTACTTGACACACGTTGACTAAAGGCGTGTGAAGGCGATGGGTTGTGCGGGGCATTTTCACTACCCTCGCGGTGGTACGAACCGCCCCGCGAGGTGTGGGAGCCACCCGCATAACGATCGGGATCGTTCTGCTAGTGGTGATAAGAATCATTGCGCCCAGCATTTTCGCTTGAGTTTGCATGCGACGTGGCATGGGACAGCTCGGGATTCACTTTTTCACCTAGTCAGCTTTACCGACACCCTGCTCGGGGTGCCTTTTGTATTCGCTGGTCCTTGGGAGCCCGTAGGCTTACTTTTTGCCACTTGCTTACCTTTGCGCCTACGCGCTGCAGTGCTCGCGGCACGGGCTATCGCCCTTTGCCGCGCTTTCGCACGACCTGCAGACGTCTTTGGCGGTTGTACCGCCCCGGCTGTCGTAGAAGACATGCCTTGGTCCAAACGGTCCAGCCTCTGGTTGACCGTTTGGAGAGTATTGTCGAACCTCTCCAGGTAGCTTCTGATGGCAGGGTCAAGTTGCGGAGCTGCCGGGATATCCCCAGCAGCATTTTGCGAAACTGGAGGTATGTTGGAAGGGGTGTCCCTCTGGGCTAGGGGGACTCCTTCAGCACGTTGGTTGACCTGCTCCGATTGAGATTGACGGGCCATTTGTAGCTGTAGGACCAGTGGGTCGAAGATTCTCTTGATGAAGGTTTGACACTAAATCGGCCTTCCTTCTAGCGCCAAACTGTTGATGCTTGATTTTGGCACTAACGAATTGTCACGTGCGTAACGCTGATTAGACAATAAACACACGTGATAGTAAATGTAGAGAACGAAATAAATGCAAAGAAAGCTTTTAAAGTGGTTCGGCTGCTAAGGTAGCAAGTCCTACGTCCACTGATTTGTATTAATATTGGTGTGGGTCAGGTCGCAACAGCGGACTGACTTACAGAAAAGTTATGAAAAGTAAATGTGTTTACAGGAGAGAGAGAGAGAGAGTTTTCTCAATGTAAAAATGGCCGAATCCCCTTAATGAAGGGGTCTTCTTCATTTTATATCAAACTGAAGCGTGTAATCATCATTAAATCCATTGGTTGGTGTGATTGTCAGGATATAATCTGGCTTTATGTCCCATCACCCTCTTCCCAAGCTGATTTCGCACGGTTTATTGCAGGGAAATGGACGCATGGGAGCTCCATATCGCTTGGCAGGCCTGACGTGTGCTTGTTTCTCTGACGGGAACAGGTCACTCTTCATCACGTGACTTTCCCACGTCAGCCCTTAATTACCCGAGCATAACAGGTAAGAATATGCAGTGCCCTGGAGATTTGGTTTTGCGGGGAGAGCTTGTGAAGCAGAAAAAGTTTGATCTTATTATCATCAGCCATTGCATGAGAGATACTTTATGCTGTAGTTCTTATTGGTGGTTGCATTTGTCCTTTTCTGGCTGGTATTTTTTAAAAGGCTGCTTGGGGTTCATATTATGATGTCTTGCACTTCTTGTTGTGGTAGGGCTATCATGTATGTTTGCCGTGTTAAGTTCAAAGAAGAAAGACTTAAATAGGCAGTTCTTTTTTTTTTTTTTTTTGGTGGAATTTGGTACCATAAGAAGGCCGCTTCTGCTGGTTTTGTGGTGCTTTTTTGGCTGGAAAGTTCAGAGGAAAATTCTTTAACCAGTGTGTGAAGTCCCTGGGTTTATGTCATTTGAGCTGGAGAGTTTATTTAGCATTTCGTCATATGAATATGTAGTATAGTTAGTTGTAGGGCTTTTGTCTGGGCCTTCTTTTTCATAAGGCTTAGCTTGTACAGAATTGTTTTTCCTATGCTATGGCCTTTGTTTTTTTAGTTTGATTCTTGGGTTTGTCCAAGGCTCATTAGAGGAAAGGGCCTCCCTTCCTTCCCGGGTTGTATTTTTTCTTTTCTAATTATCGGGTTTAACCAAAACAAATACTCTCTTTATTCCAAATCTCTTAACTACATTTTTTATCTCTTCTCTTCTCTTGTTTCGTCTCATTTGCAAACAATCATTCTTCAAATGTTAGAGATGCCTTTGAGTCTAAAAGACTAAAACTCATACCTAAGAAGAATATATTCAAGACACCAATTGCTATAAAAAATTCTAAGACCGTAAAGAGTTTCAAGGATAATTGTTTTGATATCGATTTTATTATTAAAACTTATTGAAAAATTTTGGTCAGATATGATGATTGACCAATGGGAATTAGAAGAATAGGGAGTTGGGTATGAAACTGGATTGAACAAAAGACAAAAAAGGTGATATTTCTCTTGGGGGGGCTTTTGGTAGTTAGATATAAGTGTTATATAATCCTATTGAAACTTAAAGATAAAAGTGAGGCTTTTTTACTTTGTAAAATAAGTGCTCTAGCATTGAAAATTCTGTCTAATAAAAAACAAAACCAAATAATCACTTTAAATAAGTTTTGGTCTTTTATGTTGAGCTGGTCAATTAAAGGGGAAGGAGAAAATTCAAAGGACTTTAACTTTTCTTTTTTTTTAATTATTATTAATTAAAGGGGAAGGAGAAAGGACTTTTTTTAATTGCTTGTAGGGGTTAAGTACGCAATGCTTTGCTTTTACTTTTAGTTCACATCTCTTTTTTATTCTATTAGATTTTAATACATGTTTAAATTAAATCATGCATATTTTCTTATAGAGTGTGCTATTGACCTTTCACTTATTATCAAATATAACCCCATTTCTAAATAAACTCCATTTTTTAATTTAAATAATAATTTAAGTTGTAAATATCCTTGATACTTTCAGCTAAAGGTTTACCAATGTAAAATTGATGGTTAATATGTATAACCACCATTTGAAATTAATATTTTTATAAATCTTTCACAAATACAACATACGATGAACAAACAAACAAGAAAAAAGTATTTGAAACAAAATTAATTCTTTGATCTAGGCTTTTTTTCATATTTGATGTATTTATTTTTTAAAACGGAATTTGAAAATTGAAATGAAAAAAGTTGTCTCAAGTAATTAATAAATAATTATTTCATCATCAACATTATTATGTAATGCATGGTCCATAGATTATATTTCCAAGTTAACTACTCATGCTGACTTGGGCGAGGCCACATGATTCACGAAACTTTCAAGAGTCTTAGGCCCTACTTTCACTTTAACCTTTATCTTCTTCTCTTTTTCATTTAACCTTCAATATATAGATTTTATATATTGTAAACAAAATAATGCTACGTGTCAATATCATTTCTTTTGTGGAACAAATGTAAACGTTCACACGTGGTGAAAAATATAAACAATATCACCAATGATCCCCGTTTATAAGTTTTGGTGTGCCAATCTCAGTCGTTAAGCAGTCAATGAAAGGAGAAGGAGAAAGGACTTTGCTTGACGTTTCACTGAATATTTAAGACAATGTCACTATCATGCTGACTTTGAGGGCCACCACAGTCCACTTGACTCAAGTTTCACAAGTCTCTGGCCCTTTCTATACTCAATACGTATTCGCAGCGGGGCTGTTTGTACAACAGTATTTGCAACCCGCTTATAAATTCAACTCCATTCTCCTACAATGGTTAAGCACCATATCTACATTATCTGATTTATTTACTTACATACATTATGGGTTTATCCTTGTGTTTCTTCTCATTTATATGCTTACTTCTTTGGCTCTCATTATTTCATCTTACACTCCTTCCTCATTTTACTTCTTCTGTGAAGCCACACTGCCATGATGATGAGCGTTCTTCATTGTTACAGTTCAAGGAAAGCCTAATTATCAATAAGTTCGCTTCTTCCGATCCTTCTGCTTATCCCAAGCTTGCATCCTGGAAGGCTAATGATGATTGCTGCTCATGGGACGGCGTCACTTGCAATAAGGTTACTGGTCATTTGATTGGGCTTGACCTCACCAATAGTTGCCTTTACGGTTCTATCAACTCTAGCAGTAGTCTCTTTCACCTTGTCCATCTCGAATGGCTTATCCTTGGTGATAATGACTTCAATGGCTCAAAAATCCCGTCTGAAATCAAGAACCTTTCCAGGTTGTCATGTCTTGACCTATATAATTCTAGTTTTTCTGGTCAAATACCATGGGAGGTCCTAGAGCTCTCAAATTTGGAGACTCTTGACTTAACATTTAATTTTAACTTGAAGATCCAAAAGCCAAGTCTAAGAAGCCTAGTTGAGAAGTTAACTCACCTCAAAGTCCTATATCTTGGTCATGTCAATATTTCTTCTCCGATACCTGATATCTTGACAAATTTATCTTCATTGACTGCCTTATCTCTCAAAGGGTGCCAATTGCAAGGTAAATTCCCTACAAAGATATTTCAATTACCCAACCTTCGCATTCTCAGCATGCGGTTCAATCCAAATCTCTCGGGCTCCTTGCCAGAATTTGAAAAGAATAGCCCCCTTGAAGAATTGAGAGTTGAGCAAACGAGATTTTCAGGTGAGATTCCATATTCAATAGGAAATCTTAATTCCTTACAAATCCTGGATATGAGTAATTGCAGTTTTTGGGGATCAATTCCGCCTTCACTTGGTAATCTTACCAAGATCACTCTTCTTTACTTAAATCGGAATGAATTTTCAGGTAAGTTACCAGCTACCATTGGAAATCTTGCTTCTCTAGAAGAACTGAACCTTTCTTATAACAATTTTTCAAGCCAAGATTTTCGTTCATTGTCATGGATGGCCAAGTGTAGTAAACTTACTTTTTTAGAGCTTTCACAAATCAACCTTTACGGTGAAATTCCCTATTGGCTCATGAGCCTAACACAGGTTACCTATTTATCTGTGAGCCACAACGAATTAAATGGTACAATCCCTTCTCAAATTAGAAACCTAACGAAACTTAAACATCTTGCACTTGACTCAAATCAATTACAAGGCCCATTTCCTAGCGCTCTTTATGACCTCGAGACCCTTCAAGAGCTTAACCTTGGTTCAAATAATCTAAGTGGTATAGTGGATATGAACATGCTTTTTTATCAACTCCAAAATTTAGAATCTTTATCTCTCTCTTCAAGCCATTTACAATTGCTCACTGAAATCGACAGTCATACTAAAGTTCCAAAATTTAGGATTCTTGAATTGGGGTCATGCAACCTTACTGAGTTCTCAAACTTCTTGCAGAACCAAGATCAATTGACGGAGTTACACCTTTCCTCAAATAAGATAGCTGGCCGTATACCTGGATGGTTTTTGAAATTGAGCTCATTGCAAACCTTGGACGTTTCCAACAACCTTTTGACGGGCTTTGATTGAAATCCTGTTTTCTTTTCTTGTTCTTCCCGAGTCTATTTAGGCTTAAAGGGCAAATAAGCTACAAGAACATGCAATTCCCAATTCTATTAGTTGTATTTGTCACATCGCCAAGATGGTAGGCTATTATGATGTGTATATATGTAATTGAGTTATTTCCTCCCTTGAGTTAGCTTTTGAGAGTAAGTTATTACCCAAGCTCACTTTATCGTAGTATTATTGGAAAAACTGGAATTTATTGATCTTGGAAAAACTGGAATTTATTGATCCTAGAAATAACCTAATCAGTGATGCTTTATTGTATTGGTTGGAAACTCTTCCAAAATAAAAACTTCTTATCTTACAGTCAAAGTCAAAATATTAAATTTTTACGATGCAAATTCTTAATCTTTAATTCCATACAATTTAATGGATTGACACTAATAAAAAAATTATATCCAATGTCTATTTAGTACATTTAATAATTAAACAAAGTAATTTGCGTTAAAAATTTACGTTAAAAAATAGTTTTATCTATCCTAAATTAAACTCTCCTAAAATAAAGAGATTTAGATACAAGATAAAGCAAGTTGTTTGTTTAATGAGACATATTTGCAGTGATCGGTTGTATTCAATGTATTGTAACAAGTTCTACTCATACTAGTGTGATTTATTCTCAGTATTGCACTATTTCACTCACGTAATATACTCTCATTAGTTAATTATATTAAAACAATATAATACAAAGATTATCTAAAACCGATTGTATTGAAACAGGATGCCGCTAAACTCATATTGAAACAAGAACGAAGGTCCGATGACACTATAAATAAATACCTCCAAAACCATACACTATAAATAAGAATAAGGCTTCGCTCTCAAAAGGGTCACTCTCCCTTCCCTTTGATTATCAGTGAAGCCAGTGATAAAATTTGAAGGAGAGATTCCAGCATCCACTTCAAAATGAGACGGCTTCGTTTACTTTCTTTTTCTTTTTTTCTTTTCTTTCTTCTTTTTAAAGGACTTATTTGTTTACCTTTGATATTCCATCTATAAAATTTGTCAAAACTTGTGATTTTATGCATATGTAGTATCAGCTTAGCTTAAAAACAAAAGGTTTGGTGGTCCGCTCTTGTGTTGGCTTCATCGAGACTAGCTCGGTTGTTCTTAGGGATTGCAAATTTCATTAACTGGATGAAGAACTGCATTGAATACAGGCGGGATGGCTAGTTATTAACAACACACTGTTTTTTGATACTATTACATGAACTTTTATTTTTAACAATAATCCCTCTGAACTAATTTTAAAAGAATAAACTGAAATTGAAAATCCTGGACTTCTGTTCAACATTTCCCTTCAAACTGAACTCTCTGGTAACTTGAAACACACCAGTAAATCAACATAGATGCTGACTTGTTATAGCCGGCTGTTTCCCTGTTTTATGACAAGAATTACCGAACGCCTATAAATTCATTTCAATTCTCCTCCAATGCTTAAGCACCAGATCTTCATTAATGAATCTAGTTACATAATTATGGGGTTATCCTTATGTTTCTTCTCATTGGTACGTTTACTTCTTTGACTCTCATTATTTCATTTTACAGTAGTTGTTCACTTTACTTCTCTTGTGCAGGCAATCTATCATGATGATGAGTGTTTTTCCTTGTTACAGTTCAAGGAAAGCCTAGTTATCGATAGGACGGCTTCTTCTGATCCTTCTGCTTATCCCAAGATTTCATCCTGGAAGGCAGAGGACTGCTGCTTATGGGACGGTGTCACCTGCAATGAGGTTACTGGTCATTTGATCACACTTAATCTCACTAATAGCTGCCTTTATGGTTCTATAAACTCTAGCAGCAGTCTCTTCCACGTTGTCAATCTGGAATGGCTTAGCCTGGCTGATAATTACTTCAATGGCTCCAAAATCCCATCCAAAATCATGAACCTTTCCAAGTTATTATCATATTTGAACCTATCGAATTCAGGCTTTTTTGATCAAATACCATTAGAGTTCTTAGAGCTCTCAAATTAGAAACCTAACACAATTGGATCTTCTTGCACTTGGGTCAAATCAATTGCAAGGACCATTTCCTAGCGCTTTCTATGACCTCGAGAATCTTCATGTGCTTGACCTTGCTTCAAATAATCTGAATAGCACAGTGGATATGGACATGCTTCTTTCTAAACTCAAAAATTTAAGAACTTTAGTCCTCTCCTCAAACAATTTAACATTGCTCACCAAAACCATATTTCATACAAAACTTTCGAAATTTTCTATTCTCGGATTGCAGTCCTGCAATCTTATTGGGTTCCCAATTTTTTTGTAGAACCAAGATCAATTGGAAGTGCTAGGCCTTTCTTCAATCAAGATAGCTGGCCAAATATCTGGACGGTTTTTGAACTTAAGCGTGGACTTATTGTTTACCTTGAATCTTTCCAACAATCTTTTAACAGAGTTTCACAAACATCCTGCTGGTTTTTTTATGGACTCGGCTATCCGATTCACACCTAGCGTCAAATAGGTTATAAGGACCACTCCCAATTCCCCCACTGTCCACCAAAATTTATCTGGTTTCATACAATAATCTAATAGGAGAAATTCCACCATCTGTATGCAATTTGAATAAGGTACTAGTGCCTGATCTGTCGTACAACAATTTGAGTTGCCAGCTTCCACAATGTTTGGGCAATTTCAGACATCGCCTTGCAATGCTAAAGTTGCAAAACAACAAATTTCATGGAAGCATTCTACAACACTTTGCAAATAGAACAAATTTGAGGATGATTGATTTAAGCCATAATCAATTACAAGGGTGAATGCCGAGATCATTAACCAATTGTAAGAAGCTAGAATTTCTTGATCTTGGAAAAAAAACCAAATCAATGATGCTTTTCCATCTTACAATCAAATAGATTGAGGGGTGCAATAAAAGAACCTTAAACAGACTACGCCTATTCCAAAACCATGCATCATTGGTCTCTCCCATAATCCATCAACATACTTCCAATCTTGGCATGCCATGAAAACTGTCAATGCAAGTACATTAAAGTATATGCAAGAGGTGAAATTATCTGTACTCTCCACAGATCAAATTGAAAGAACTGATCTTGCACCAATGAGTTACGGTTGATTGTTGCAAATGAGTACCAAAAGCATAGTGTTGGAATATGGAAGGATCTCAAATTTCCTCGCAGCCATTATTTTCTCGGGTAACAAATTTGAAGGAGAGATTCCGGCATCCATTGCAGATTTAAGAAGGCTTCATTTTCTCATTATTTCGAACAATAATCTCAAAGGCCTCATCCTACCATGTATCAGAAACCTAACAGCATTGGAATTATTGACCTTTCTAATAACAAGCTCTCAGTACAGATACCTCAGCAACTACAAGATCTAACGTTCCTTTCACACTTCAATGTCTCAAAAATAACAATCGCACAGGACCCATACCACAAGGAAAGCAATTTGATACATTTGAGAATAATTCATTTGAATGGAACCCTGGATTGTGTGGAAAGCAGATAGCCAAAAAAAGGTCAAAATTTTAATCCCTCAAAGAAAGAAGAAGATCCAAGCTCCAAGTTTCCATTTGAATTTGGGTGGAAGATAATTCTGATAGGGTATGGAAGTGGGCTAATTATTGGAGTGGCTCATGAGCATGCTTATTCTGCAAGAAAAACAGGAATAGTTTATGAAGATTTCCAAGAGAAAAGTCATGAAAACAATCCGGAGAAACAGAGCTCACAGAAACAGAACGTAATTTGCTTTATTCCCTTTTCTTTGCAAGAGCTAATTGACGTAGCCTTAAGCGTCGTGTACTTATTTTTTTACCATGGTGAAAGTGAGGTATGATTGAGTGTGCTCAAGTATATTACAATATTCTGAAGCTGCAATATTAAAGAGCCACGTGGACACTTAAAATAACATGGCCAATTTAGTCAAGTATATTACTTTACCCGTCTGTCTGTCTCTGTGATGACTGATGAGGCTGTGAAGATGATTTTGTCGAAGTCAAATGATCAGACGGTGGGGGACCTTTGCTCATAATGGCGAGGTGGCTTCGGGGTATTTTCTTTTTCATAACTAAAGGAAGCAGATTGAGGTTTCATTATTAAGACTTGGTCTTGCCCATCTCTTTCACAATGTTGAACTTTCAATAAAAGGGCAAGGAGAAAGGAGGCAGATTGAGGTTTTAATTAATCATGCTCACGCTGACTTGTTAGAGCCGGCTTGACTCATGAAAGCTAGATTTACTAATATCTTAATTACGACACCATCTTAAGTTAATCAGTTCATTTCACAAGTTATTGCCGGTCTTATACATTCGTTCAGGTCTAAGCGTGACATATATATTTGTATATTAAGACCTGCCTATAAATTCATCGCAATTCTCCTACTTAAGTATAAGCTCTTCATTATCTAATCTAGTTACCTAAATTATGGGGTCATCTTTATGTTTCTTCTCATTTATATGCTTTCCTTTGTGGCTCTTATTCCTTTATTTTACAATACTTGTTCACTTCACTTCCTTTGTGCAGCCACTCTATCATGATGATGAGCGTTATTCCTTGTTACAGTTCAAAGAAAGTCTACTCATAGATAAGTTTGCTTCTATTGATCCTCTTGCTCATCCCAAGGTTGCATCTTGGAAGAAAGAAGAATGTTGCTCATGGGACGGCGTCATCTACAATGAGGTTACTGGTCATTTGATAGGGCTTGACCTCACTAGTAGTTGCCTCTATGGTTCTATCCACTCTACCAACACTCTCTTCCAACTCGCCCATCTGGAATGGCTTAGCCTGGCTGATAATGACTTCAATGGCTCTAAAATCCCTTCCCATATCATGAACCTTTCTAGGTTAACATTTTTGAACGTATCTAATTCTGCCTTTTCAAGTCAAATACCATCAGAGTTCTTAAAGCTCTCAAATTTGGAGACCTTTGACGCATCAGTAAATCCTAACTTGGAGTTGCAAAAGCCAAGTCTAAAGAGCCTAGTTGAGAAGTTAACTCACCTCAAAGTGCTAAATCTTGCCCAAGTCAACATTTCTTCTTCAATACCTGATATCTTGGCAAATCTATCTTCGTTGACTAAGTTATCCCTTAGGGATTGTAAATTGCAAGGAGAGTTTCCTGCAAAGATATTCCAATTACCCCACCTTCACTTTCTCAGTATGCGGTACAATCAAGGCCTCTCTAGGTACTTGCCAGAATTTGAAAAGGGCACCAATTCAGTCCTGGAGGGATTTTAAAATAGCAATAATTACTAGATTTTGACCATCTTTCCAAGGAACAGCTTATGAAGCACTAGCAACCTTGAAGCAAACAGCAACGGTGACGGAATATCGAGAGGAGTTTGAAGTTTACTCTGCACCTTTGAAAGATTTGGGGGAAGAGATGTTAATGGGTCTTTTCATGAATGGGCTGAAAGAAGATGTTAAGGCTGAGTTGCATTTAATGAGGCCCACAAATATAAGTGAAGTAATTGAGCAAGCCCATAAGGTGAAAGAAAGAAACTGGATCTCGAAAAAGGGAAAGCCCAAAATGGAAGGGAAAATTATAATCGGGTTTCTTCTAGCCCAGAAATTGAGCGACCCGGTTGGTGGACAACGCACACAAAAACTCTAAATTCAAGTTACTCTTCAAATATCAGACCACCCAAAAGTAGAGATAAGACACCGAGGACAGTAGCAACGAGCTTCAGGGGAGATAATTTTTGTCGGCTTTCGGAGACCGAAATCCAATACAAGAGAGAACGGGGCTTGTGCTTCAGATGCGATGAAAAGTATAACCCAAATCATAGATGTAAGAGTAAATCGTTGCAAATCCTACTTGCATGGGATGATGACGAAGTGAAAAAGGAAACACCTGACCAGATCATCGAAGAGGAGCCCATTACAGAAGGTAACCCCCTAGCCCTTTCAATGAATTCCATTATTGGTATTACTATAAATAAGACTCTGAAGATTAGAGGAAGAATCGATAAGGAAGAGGTTATCGTGTTGGTCGATAGTGGGGCGTGCCACAACTTCATCTCACAGGAGTTGGTGAACAGATTAGATATATCGGTTGAGAAGGGTAAGACTTTTGGAGTGATGATAGGGAACAGAGTGACAGTAAGGGGTGAGGGAATATGTACAAGGGTTAAACTGGATATACAGGGAGTCATGGTGCAACATGACTATTTTCCCTTTGATTTAGGAGGAGCAGATGTGGTACTAGGAGTATCTTGGTTGAGTTCCTTGGGGGACGTGTGTGCAAATTGGAAGAATTTGACCATGGCTTTTGAGGTGGAAGGGAGACATGTGCTGTTACAAGGAGACCCTTCACTAGTAAAAACGGTTGTATCTCTTAAAGCCATGTTAAGAACAATTCAGACAGCAGGGACGGGGTATCGGGTGGAATTTTGTTCAATCGAGTATAAACCAGAAGTCAAGGAGGAACCTTAAGAACCTAGGGTGGTAAGAGTCCTAGAGGAGTTTCAACACTTGTTTGACCAACCATCTGGATTAACCCCCCATAGAAAACATGATCATGCCATAGTGCTTAAGGAAGGAGCATAACCTGCGATTATCAGACCTTATAGATACCCGTATTTTCAAAAAAAAAATGAGATTCAGAGGTTGGTTGGTAAGATGTTGGTGGCTGGAATCATCCAACATAGCACCAACCCTTTTGCAAGTCCAGTTTTATTGGTTAAGAAGAAAGATAGTTGTTAGAGGTTTTGTGTTGACTAGAGGACCCTTAATAGTATTACCATACCCGATAAATTCCCATCCCTACCATCGATGAGCTATAAGATGAGTTAGTCGGAGCAACAATTTTTTCCAAATTGGATTTAAAATCAGGGTACCATCAGATTAGAGTTAAGGAAGAAGATGTACCAAAAACGGCCTTTAGGACTCATAAGGGTCACTATGAATTTTTAGTGATACCCTTTGGTTTAACTAATGCCCCATCTACCTTCCAAGTCCTTATGAACACAATATTTAAACCTGTCCTGCGAAAATTTGCCTTAGTTTTCTTTGATGACATTCTTATTTGCAGCCCAGACTTAGAAACCCACATACAACACTTTTCCCAAGCATTTAAAATTCTGTAGGCTCATGAATTGGTAGTTAACCGTAAGAAATGCTCATTTAGACAGAAGAAGATTGAATATTTGGGTCAGTTGGTGTCCGAAAAAGGAGTGGAGGTAGACCAGCAAAAACTGGAAGCTATGAAATCATGGCCAATTCTAACTAACGTAAAAAGTTTGAGGGGATTTTTGGGGCTCACTGGCTATTACAGGCTGTTTGTACATGGGTATGGAATCATAGCACTACCCTTAACTCAATTACACAGGAAAGATGCTTTTACTTGGACTGAAGAGGCCCAACAAGCTTTTGAACAGCTGAAAACAGCCATGACTACTGTTCCAGTATTAGCAGCCCTCAATTTCAGCATCCCTTTTGAAGTTCACACAGATGCCTTGGGGCAGGGGCTTGGGGCAGTGCTGGTTCAGCAATCTCGGCCAATTGCGTTTCTAAGCAAAGTTTTTTCTCCACATTCCAAGCAAAAGTCAGTATATGAGAGGGAGCTCATGACCGTCTTCTTCGCTGTCCATAAATAGAGTCACTACCTATTGGGCAATAAGTTTATCATCAAAACAGACCAAAAGAGCCTTCAGTTCTTACTTGACTGGCGCATGAAGACTCTAGAGCAGCAAAAGTGGATGCTTTGTCTCGCAGAGAAAAGGGAGTTGATTACAATGCCATCACCCTGGTCCAATTTACTGACTTTGATGCTCTAGCGGAAGAAGCCCTAATATTCTCTAAAAACATGACACGTGTGCCTTTCAAACTAACTAATTCCTGCTGACTTTATCGCTCCATGTGGACCTTCTCCCTCGCTTGGTGTACCGTTTTGTGATGGGTGGTCTATCATTATTCAAGTTAAATTGATTTTCCTGTTTCTAATTCTGTGATTTAGTTGTATTCTACTATTCTTATAACAGATTGAAGGGAATCGAATTTGAAGATTGGATTGGTTACGGCAGGTTATTCTTTTTTGGGTGTTCTACCATATTTGGAAACCTTAAATTTCAAGAATGTTGAAGAGAGCATTTGAATGTTTTTGCAGGTGCAGCACAGCTTTGTGGGTGCAGCACAGTAGATCTAATTGAAGCATGATTTTTGTTTTTATTGTTTAATCATAGTGTTATTGTACATTAGTGGAGTGTTATTTACTTCGAGATTTTTTTTGGTGCAGGTTCGCTTCTTCTACTTTTTGTTGTATGTGGGTATTCCTCATTGTGAGGGGGCTGCTAGTACAAAATCTCCATGGAATGCTACTGGTAAGCCTAAGTACCTTTTTCTTTTTCCATCTTTTCTTTGGTTGCCCAATACCTTGCAGATCCATTCTGAAGCTTAATTATATCCATTTATCTAAATCTGATGCTATCAATGGAATGCAGTTATGAGCCCTTACCAGATCATAGTGGACGTGGTTGGCATGGATCAAGAAAGCAGGTGATGAAAGAATTTGGGGGGCAAAAGAGGTCCTATTGCATGGACCCACAACCTTTTGGCAGTTTAGAGTGGCATTTATACGAGTATGAGCTCAACAGCTATGATGGTTACTTTTATTTTTCGATTTGCAAAGGGTCAGATTTATGTTAAAGATTTTTTTTTTTTTTTTTTTTTAATTTCTATTGTCCCGAATGACCAACCATATGTGATTGAAAATTTTAGTGTGTTATTGCTTCCTACGTAGCCACATTGACTTGAAATTCATGTTGTTTCAGTTTTTTATGTGATACATTTTAGAAATTTGAGCATCTCAATATGACTTAATAAGATTTGGGAGTACATTCTCAAAAATCTATCAATAATGCTACGGACACCGGGATTTTTGCACTGAAATATTGTACCGGCCTATGTGTAACACACTTCTGATTTTTTTAACAATTTTTTTCGAGTGAACGGCCGTCCGTCAAATTTGGACGGCCGTTCACTCACATGGACGCCCGTCCATATTATATGGACGGGGGTCCATATACCAGGGACAGGCATCCCCATTTAATGGACGCCCGTCCATAAGTAAAATGAAATAATTTTTTTTATAAAAATTAGGGACGGCCGTTCATCCGTTATGGACGGCCGTCCCTTAATTTTGGACGGGCGTCCGCAAATAAGGGACGCCCGTCCTTAACCAAAATATGAAAATAATAAAAAAAAATTTGGGGACGATTGTCCATAAATTTTGGACGGCCATCCCTTACGTTTGGACGGTCGTCCATTAGGAATAGACGCTCGTCCATACTTTTTAAAAAAAAAAAAAAAACACTTTCTTCGCTCTTCTTCTTCTTCACTCCACTCCATCCCTGTAACACCTCAAATCCATTTTGTAGCAATCCTAATCCTCCCACTGAATTACAACATAAACAAAACAAAAATACAGATGAAACAGACTACAAGAGACAGACTGAATTTCACTGTAAGTTTAAAACATTTTCAACTAAGAAGAACAACTTTAAAGTCTTTGTCTTCCCATTTGCCCATAACTGCCAAAAGACAAGAAGAAGAAAGATACAGAGAGATTAAGAGAAAGTTGTGAACTTTATATTTATATATTTTTTATTATTTTGATGACGTTTATTCTTATGAGATTTTGTTCTTTCTGATCTTTATTTCGTAGAATTTGATTCTTATTCAGCTTTCATTTCAGAGAAAAAGTGTTTATTTGCAGATCTATTTGGAGCTCTTCGCTTATGGGTTTTTCTTCTATTGGGGTAAGTTTTTCTGATTCTAATTATGGGTTCCTCCCATTGAATTACAGCATAAACAAAACAAAAATAACCTTTAGTGGATTTGAGGTGTTACAGGGATGGAGTGGAGCGAAGAAGAAGAAGAAGAAGAAGATTTGTAATCGTTTTTTTTAAGATTTGTAAAAGATTAATTTTGGACGGCCCAAAGAATTTTTTTTTTTTTTTTTTTTTATTTGAGTGAAGGACGAGCATCCATTATTTGTGGACGCCCGTCCAAAATTAATGGACGGCCGTCCCTACAAATTTTTTTATTTTATTTTAATAGGGACGGGCGTCCATATTATATGGACGGCCGTCCCTCGCATATGGACACCCGTCCATATAACATGGACGCCCGTCCAAAATTAATGGACGGCCGTCCATAATGGATGGACACCCATCCCTAAGCTTTTACAAATTATTTTATTTTATTTTAATAAGGACGGGCGTCCATATTATACGGACGGCCGTATCTCGCATATGGACGCCCGTCCATATAACATGGACGGGCGTCCATGTGAGTGAACGACCGTCCAAATTTGATGGACGGCCGTTCACTAGAAAAAAATTATAAAAAAATGGACCGATGTGTTACACATAGACCGGTACAGAAATTCGGTGCTAATATTTCGGTGTCCGTAGTGTTATCGAAAATCTATACAGCATATGTAAAAAGTACACACCATATCAGCTTTTATAGAGAGATTGTGAATCGTAATTGTTTTTGATACCTTGCATAGTAATTATGATAATACAATATTGAATTGTATTTTCTGATCTCAATTTGGAAAAACTTGCTGGTTGTAGGAGAAAATGAAGCCGCTGAAAAGAATCTAGAAATTATAGAAACTGATGCTCAGAACTGGATGTCAGAGATCGATAAAATCACTGCAGAAGCTGAAAATTCTTTGGAGGACGAAGTCAAAGCAAACAAGAGGTGTCTCAGTGAATCCCAGACAACGTAACTAACTCAGTAAACAGGTAAAGAATAAAATTTACATGTGCTGATTATATGTTAAAATTGTGTAGTTTTTGTGTTTTTATACTTTCTGGGTTTGTTTAAGGCATTTCTTGAAGAATGGTTTCTTCATGCAACATGTTCGATGAAATGCTTGTGAGGAATGGTTTCTTACATGTGGTGTGTTTGTTGACAAATAGTTCAAAGAAGCATAAAACAAGTACTACTTGGACCTGATTGGTTTGCTTGCAAACAAATGACAATTACAACCTGGTACTTATATGTACTTAATTGGATTGATAAGTCTAATTAAATTATCTTTCAGGAATTGCAATGACTGAGCAAGACCCCATTTAATTGGATTTGTTTTTTCAATAGGCAGTATCTTTGTTCCATTTGTTTTCTGATGCATTCTGGTATAAGATACCTTTGACTCTAGTGAGCCCCTTCAAATTTACAGAGGTAATTTAATTTAATTTTTTTTTCATTTTCTTGAAGATCTTTATATGGCAAACAGGTGTGTGACTGGGACTTTTTACGAATCTTAAGAGACTCCCTGTCTCTATCTTTTTTGCGGCGGAGATTTCAGCGGCTGGGATGAAGATGACGTGTCAGAGGATGACGAACCTGAGGGGTACGAAGACACAAAGGGCGATAAAAGACTCAAACTTAACCAAATAATACCCATAATATTTAAAATTACTTTCATCAAACATATGTCTTCTTCCTATATATAGTAATTTCATATCTCATTAATATTATAGTAATGTTTGTGTATGAACTTTTTATTCTTATTCTCTTTTTATGATAAACCCATTTTTCAGTTAAGAAATATATCATTTTGTAGTTTCTGGATAAAGCAAGTATGCCACCGAGACTTGAAATTGGAAAACACTTTGTTGGACAGAAGACCAGCTCCTCGGTTAAAGATATGTGATTTTGGGTACTCTAAGGTGCTGCTTGTCTTTCTCTTTCTTATTTCTCTGACGTCATTTCTATTCTTACTTGTTATTCTTTGATATATATGATAAAAAGTCCTTGCTTAACTTTTCATGCAGTTTTCTTCAGCCTTGGTTAACTTGCCATATGTTGTTGTTTTCCTGGACTACTAGGCAGATTGGGATAAAAGAGCTTTTGATTTTGCTCCAGGAGTATTGCTGATCAAGAGTATGATGGCAAGATATACTTTTACAGCTTTATTTAAACTATTTTATAACCAAATATATCCCTTTGCAACCATAGCCTTTTCATTAAAGCTTGAAGGAAAAATATGTTTGAATATATTTCATTTGTTGGACAAGATATTTAATGTGTAGTTGCCTGGTGCACCGCTTTTTAGTTATGCATATTAATGTGATGATATCATATTGATCCATTTGTTCTCTTTGTGACATTGTAATGAGGCTTAGGTTACATTCTCTTTTCTTTTTAACCTATTTGGCACCAGAGTTCTATTATATCATTTCGTAGTTTGATTTTGGCTTACAAAGTGCATGTCTTAGTATTATGACTGAAATAATGCTTTCGTTGTGTTGAAAATGACCAATAGTTGTCGTGTTTTAGATTAATTATTGACAATGTCAATTTTCGTATAATCCCCTCCATAGTAAGCAATTACCAAGCCCTGCATTCTCTTTAACAATTATATGCTACCATAAAAGAGATTGATTAAATATATGGCTCTTAAAGTCACTCTTATAAATATTTCGCCATGCCTTCCATTGTAGATAAAGAATATTGTTATGAGCCCACAACCGAATTCTTGCCAGATATTTGTTGGGGTAGTTTCCTTTTGTCTTTGTTGTGTTGTCCATTTTTGGTTAGCTCTTGCTTGCCTAATCCCTCTCACCCTGGCACTTTTTGAACTTAAAACTTTTATACACAGTCTTAACGGGTGGAATTCAATTTAATTGCCTCTCTTGAATGTTCAACAAATAATTAATCATTTCAGTCCAAGTTTGGTATTCAGCTGGAACAACACTTTCTCATGCATAACTTTTCCCATAATTCTTCAGCTATTTCTCTGCTTATGTGAATCGTAGAAGTTTTCAGGAAGTCAGGGACTCAGGGTCTTAGCTTGGTTAGGATATTGAGAGAGATCAGCTCATTGAGGGTAAGCTTGGTTAGGGAAGTCTGTAATCTTATAACTTTTTCTTAACTGGAGTCTGTTTACTTGCATATTCTAAATTTGCTGATTTATACTGAGTGCAGTATTGCAAATAATTTAGTATAGAATAAATAGCTGGGTGATTTTGAATTAACATCCGAGGGCTTACATTGAGTATTGCAAATACCAAGTTGTAAAGTAAGAATATAAGCATCAGTAATTGGGATTATTAGCTGAGAGCTGTAGATTTTTAAGTGTTTTTAATGCTTGGGCAACAGACTCTATGGAAGACTCCTTACTAAAACTTTTTATATGTCTTTGTTCAGTATGCTTGCAGGAAGGCTCTTGCAGACAGTCAACCAAGAATTCGTGGACAGTTTGCAAAGACGGAAGAACCGGGCATGTCCAGGAGGCAATAACTCTTAACTAATTCGGTAAGAAGAATAGGAATGAAATAGCTAGGTCTGATGAAGCGTAATGCAAAGAATGAGTAGTAGTGAAGCCTGGCAAAGAGAATTAGTGGAAAGCCTAAAGAGGTAATGCTAAATAAACAAGACCCCCCTCCCATCTCCTGCAGAAGTAGTCGATCTCTTATTGTCAGAGAATCCGTTTGGCGAAGGTAGCGGACCTCCTCAGCAATTTAAATACTTTATGTTTGGTACTTGGTGTAGATTTCAAGGACACCATTTGTAAAATTCACCTCAGGATGGATGAATCCAATGCAACAAAAGATGTAACTCACTCTAGGATTGAGTAATTGGCAACGAGAACGCAGAAGGTTTGTATCTGTGTAAAACTGTTTTAAGCAATAAGCTAAAATTAGCTTATAAGAATTTGAAATTTTAAGTAATTATGTGTTTAGTTAAAATACTTATAAATGACTGATAAGTAGTTAACGTGTTTGGTAAAATGTGACTCATAAGTATATTTTATTATAAAATAACTAAAAAAAGTACTACATTAAATAAGAGTATATTATAGAATTTTAAAATTAAACAAGGATAATGTGGTAATATATTTGGTTAAACTAACTTATAAGCATAGTGCTTAAGTAAAAAAAAAAAAAAAAATTTTTGCTTATAAGCTCAAAAAAGTTATAAGCTAGTTTGACCAGTTTATAAGCTTAGACAAATACCCCTTTATTCTCTCTTATGGAAAATAGAAGAGTTACCGTCCAAAGTTTTTTTTTCTCATATATATAAAGTTGAATACCCCCCTTGGTTGTTTGACACGTAGCACATTTTGAACTCATTTTGGAGCTGTAGAATTGTTTCATCTTAGCACGTAGGATTTGTAGTTGTCATGTGTTTGAATTTTATTGATGATAATGTAAACAAATATTAATTATTGCATTAATATTTCAAATTCAAAGGTAAAAGTATGTTTGTTTGAATGACACATAGGATTTTTTTTTTTTTTTTTTTTTTTTTTTTTTTTTTTTTTTTTTTTTTTTTGAGATCTATAATTGTTTTATTTTGGAGCTTTAGAATTGTTCCCTCTTGCCACATTGGATGTATGGTTTAATGAGATATTAATGCATTGCATTGATATTTCAAATGTTCATATCAACCCAAATATTTCTTGATTAGATTTAATGAGATATTAATGCACTGCATTGGTATTCCAAAGGTTCATATCATCTTGATTAGATTACGTAGCACATTTTGGAACTCATTTTGAGGTTGTAGAATTATTCCATCTTGACACACTGGATTGACAAGTAAGATTTGTAATTTAATGAGTCCAATCAAATTGCTCTATCTTGACACATTGAGTTTATATTTATTGCTCCATCTACAATTAATAATTAATAAAAATTATTGGATCTGTATTAATAATAATAATATAGGTACATTGCATTGACATTTCAAAGCTGTAACCATTTTGATGTGTTGGATGTGCATTAATAACAAGTATATATGTGCATTGGATTGCCATTAATAATTGTGGTTTAATGACATCTGTCTAGGATTGCTATTAATAATTATATAGGTGCATTGTATTGACATTACAAACCTTTATTCGTATTCAATTCGTATATAATTGTGTTGACATTCCGAAGTCTAAATAAATAGACATAAAGATTGGATTACATAGGTGCATTGCATTGGTTATACTAATAATTAATAATAATACTAATTATATCGGTGCATTGCATGGACGTTTTAAGGATCTAATTATAATGACACATTAGATTTGTGATTGCCATGTGATTAAATTTTATTGGTGATGATGTAGATAATATTACTTGTTGCATTAATATTCTAAAGTCTAAATAAATAGACATAAAAATTGGATTCCATCTATAAAATATGTCAAAACTTGCCGCATATATTATGCATATTTAGTATTAGCTTAAGAACAAAGGTTTAGTTGAGTTCTAGAACTAAAATCGGTTTGGAATTTTAGACCTTAAAAGCTAAGCCTAGCCTAGCCTGTATCTCTAGAACTAAAAGGAAAAATGGAATTAGTTTCAGTGTAAGTACGTACCATGACGTCGGGCTTGTTCTTGTGAAAAGGAGATGAAGCCTTGTTTGATCTTTGGAATTGAAAACTGGAACAACTAATTCATATTTCCAATCCATGAGAGGAGCCTCTCATTCATCTCTGGAATCCATGCCCGGAAGAAAGTGGCAGCTCTGTTGGCGGTCAGCAGCCACGGTGGCTAGTTTTTGTTTAGTTTACAGGATTTTTGTATGTGTTTGATAGACCCTCGAGTTGAATTACTTGCGAGCTACTTGAACTTGACTCGATGTTGGCTCGAAATTAGTCAAGTCAAGTTCAAATTCGAATAGTTTGAGTAATTAATCAAGTCGAGTTCGATCACAGTAGAACTTGACTCGATATATTCGCTAGTATTTTCAAGTTCGATGGTTAAGTTGATAGTTTTTAAAGTAATAGGGGTCATATGTAATTTTAAAATTTGCAAATTTACCCTGTTAGATGAGCTCCAAATCAAGTTCGAATCGAACTCGATCAAAACTCAAATAAAACTTGACTAACACTCGATTAAAACTCGATTATATGAACTTGAATTCGAACTCGATTTCCAATTTCCAATTTCAAATGTCCAGTTCAAGTTCGAACTTGATTTCTTGGGCCTGATCAAGCTCGAACTTGAACTCGAACTCGGTATTGTAGCGATTGAGTCAAGTTCAATTTATCAGATACTTGACCCGACTCGATTGGACTACAGTCCTAGTTGCCGTTTAAACCCCTTTTTTTATTATGGTAAAAGTGGGGTGCCATTAAGTGTGCATTAGTTTATAATATTCTGAAGCTTCCAAAATTAAACAGCCACCTGTACTTTTAAAATAACAAGGTTGGTTTTGTTAAAGAGTTAATGACATTTTCATCCTTAAGGTTTAAACTTTAAAGTATTTTCTTGGTCAGTAAAATCTAAGAAAAACCATTTAGTCCCTCTCAGACTTATGTGGTTGGAAAAAATTAAACACTACAAGGGTATTTTTGTCATATTACACTTTTTAAGAATAATAAAATGAAATCTAAAAACTAAACCATCTAATTTAATAAATTATAAAATAAAATAAAGGACAATATATTATAAAACAAAATTTTATATGAGATTTTTTTTTTAATTTTGTTTTCGAAAGTAGGAATTTATTTTTTAAATGTTTAATTTTAGTTATGAAAATGATTTTAATTTTTTATTATAAATTCTATTCATTTTTTCTTTCATTGTAATAATATTATATTAATTAATCTCCCAAGTGCTAATTGTTTTTTTTATATTTATTTTTCATAATAAGACAAATGAGGGTATAATAGACATTTCAGCTTCTGGTTTATTATATTAAATAACAGGCGATGGTCCACTGTTCCGTGATTACTATTCCTGGCCTTGCCTAATTTAATAAATTAACAAATGAATTGTTTTTTTTTATATAAATTTATCTATTAATAGGGTTTATAAGTATACTTTGCAAACAGAAACACCTCCATGTGTTGCAGCCATTGAACTCCTCTAGGTTTTGCTCAAAGTTTAATTTGAGCCAAATGTATAAAGAGGCTTATAAAGGCGGTCAGTCTGCCACAGGACAAACCCTAAGATAGGATCAAAAACAAAAATTTAACCAAGATAAAAGAGCTATACAAAATATTATCTCCCAATACATATCCTATCACAGGACAATCCCTAGATTAAAACAAAAACAAAAGCTTATACAAGACCATCTTCAAAACATTAACAGGACAACCATCACCAAAACAAAATCAACCAACAAAAAATCACCCTTTAAAAGTGGACATTGGTAACCCCAATCCCAAGCAAGACTCCTATTACTTATGAGCCTTTATTTCTGCTTGCACTATAGCTTTCTTTTTTTTTTTTTGGCTTGTTCACCTTATTGGTTTATTATATTGAATTTGGTTGTGAAATGGAAATCCAATATTTTTTTTTTTAATGACCGGGGTGTCCATGCTAGTTTATGCACACCTCAACTAATCTTTCAAGCCTATTGAACACCCTACAAGCTCAATGTTCGAAAGTGAGCCACAAATGTGATAGGTGGCCACAAGCTAGTTCAAATGAAATCAATGAAGAGAACAAACCTTCTTGATCATTAGGCCAACCCCTTGGGGTTCAAACAATCTTTGAAACTTATGAATAAAATATTTTTCATAGTTAATCTTAATCGTAATTTCACGGTAACTTGATCCCCAATTATTTCAGGCTTTGATTCCTGAAACTTTAATTTCTATGAAAATCAGTTTATCATGGAATGGTCACTAGTAAATGCAGTCTGAATCCCATTGGTAGTTCATAAATGTATTCTAATCGAGAATTCATGATCCTATGAACTTGTATCTGAACTTTCATTAATTCATAATGCAGTAGTCTATCCTTGCTTTGTGTTATCAAACGCCGCAATACACATCCTAATTATTGACCAGCTTTTTATTGTCTATGTAAATCCAGGTGCATAGTAGTTGGATTTCACCCACTGGTTATTTGTGAAGAGAATAATGAGGAAATCAAAGCAAAGAAAATTTGAGTCTCTACCCCATATCTTCACGAAACTTGGAGTGGTAAGAAGTGAAGCTTCTTTCTGTTCAAAATCCTCGGTGAGATTTGAAGATCTCTTAGAATTTTTAAAAAATCTTGTTGAGGCCATACTAAAACCTTTGTGAACTAGTGATAAAACTTCATCAAATGGGAGTTATATTTCTTCCATTTCTTTGCATACAACTCCTAGCTGTTCTTTTTGCTTGTCAGAATGCGTATCTAAGCAAGCATGGTTGCACTGAGTTTGCTCGCAGGATAGTGTAGCTTATATAGAGAATCCGGATCTCATTGAATCTGTGAATGGGAGGCCAGTTTTCTGTAAAATGGATACTTCATTCTATGATACTCGTTTTCACTCATAATTTGTTTGTTGGTTCCTCAGAGAAATGGTTGATGGATTTCTTCTCCACAGAGTCAGCTCCCTCGAGATTGTGCGTATTCAGTTTCAAAATTTTCAAATTTTTGTGCAATCGATTAGGTTTCGATGTCTATTAAAACACTGGTTGATGCATGTTTCTATGGCAAGTGACCTGTTTTGTTACCTCGGCTGGGGAAGTCGTGTACAGAACGGTAATCCAACAGAGGGGTAGGGAGGCCATGTAAATTTTTGTAGGAAAGAATAAAAAAACCACAGATCTTCAAAGCCTTGTTGCAGTTGCTTCCAAGATCTTTTTATTTATTGATTCGTTATATTTTGCCTCTGCCTCTTTCATGATATAATAGGGGTGTTCAAAAGAACCGATTAGAACCGGAACCAGTGGGTACCTGGGGTTTGGTTCCGGTTTCTACCCAGAACCAGCCATCAACGGGTAGGTTACGGTTCCAAATTTTTAGAACCGGCATTATCCGGTTTTGGTTTCGGTTCCTACAGTTAGGAACTGGAGCCGGAACCGGAACCGAGACTAATATAAAATAAAATTAAATAGTAGGGGGTTAATAAAAAGTTTTGTAGAAAAAAGTAATGTGAATACATTTATATTTATATTTGATAACATTTAAAGTAAGTTGGTTTGACTTTTGAGAATCTACCTTTACAAAGTAATGGAGTCTGTAATTTTGAATTTGTACTTTTATTTTTGTTAACAAATGCCAGGTTTTTTTGCCATTTTAAAAACATTTGGGGGATAATGAATTTTACAGGGTACCCAGAATCGAAACCAGAATCATTGTTACAGGTTCCGGTTTTGGGTACCCAGGAACCGAAACCGTCGGTTCTGGTTTCGGTTCCAAATTTCAAGGACCCGTCGATTCCGGTTCCGGTTCCTTAAAAAAAAGTAGAGTACTCGGAACCAAATACCCCTATGATATAGGCAAATATTTATTCTACATTCATAAGCTTTCTTTGTTGATAGTCATAGTTTGGTTATCACCAGTCTGTTTTAATGTTATAGACATTGCAAATTCTATTGCAGGGGGAAGAAACTTCCGTACATCCGTTGCAGCATGCCGAATCAACACATGTGGCATGCATGCACATTACAATTGGTCGGTTGAACATGCAACCAATGTACAACTACAATATTCTCCTGTGCGGAATGCTATAGACATTGTTGTTTTGCAGCTTCAAGCATAGGATGTTAGTAGGGTTTGTATGAGATGAAGCTTGCTTAGAGTTAGAGCAATCATTTTAAAGCCTCATGTAATCATGATTTACACAAGGATAAAGAGCAAGAGCAAGAGGAATATGGTTACACAAAAATTTTCAATTGCAACTCAAAATTATGATTTGCATTTCTGTATATCACTTTACAATGACCAAAACACCCTGAAGGGAAATGACCATAATGCCCTCGCTCCACATACATTCAGTTCATTCTCACGATCTAAATTGTTCCGCATTGCAAAATATGTACAAACATGGTAGGAAAACATAGTTTCACTGGAAATTGACAATGATCTTGATGTTCATAAGTGTCTTCATAAACTACTTACATAGAAAGACCACCAACAGGAACCAACCTAGGAGGAAGCCAAAGTATATCTTTGGATAGTGTAAAGTGACTATCCCTAAAGATAAAGGCATTAGAACATTGTAGATGTCATTGTGATATAAGAATGTCATACTCACAAATGGGACTAAATAGATGATGACAATTTCATATTGAACAGTAATAAATCGATCATTCTTGCAGTATTTCCAATTGTTTGTTGTTGTTTACTATTATTAGTGCATCGTAATACTCATTTGCTATTATGGGATATATCAAGTACTCTTGAATACTTGTTTGCCTCTGGTGGTCACCCCTATTAGTAATTAAGGTGGATTAAACTTAAGACCTCTTGCATCTAAGAGTCCTAATTGATTGCTGGGCCGCTCAATGGTTGTTGCCACTAATGCATGTTAGTACTAGTTACGCTTGACCTCAAATATTTGTTTAGAAGTTAGAACAAAGAAAGGGATAAAGTCTTTAAACCCCCTAAGGTTTTCCCAGACTTTAAACAACCTCAGGTGTGTGCTCTAAACTTTTACCCCGTGGAAATCGAAGTCAACTCTTCCGTCCTCAACGACGAGTTCATTGCCCACCGTCTGGGTCTTATCCCTCTCACCAGCAAGAAAGCCATGAGCATGCGCTTCTCACGTGATTGCGATGCGTGTGACGGTGATGGCCAGTGCGAGTATTGCTCAGTAGAGTTCCATTTGAGAGCGAAGTGCATGGGCGACCAGACTTTGGATGTCACCAGTAAGGACTTGATCAGTTCTGACCATAACGTTGTTCCTGTCGATTTCGCCGATTCTTCTGCCTACGATTCAAGTGATCAGCAAAGGTGAGCTATTTTAACGTCCATGTTTATAGTAAGATTTTTAATGTAATTTTATTGTGTTAGTGGTAATGTTGTTAAATGTAGTGCCTTTATGTTCTTTAAGAATTACTACTATAATTTTAATTTCTGGGATGTTAAATAAAAAACCAAAAGGCGGAATAGTTTTATGATATAACGTGGTTACCAATGTGTCTTAGATTCTTTAAATATGCTATTATAATGGGGACTACATTTGAGTTTGAGAAGCAGGATGTGTTCGGTTCAATTTTCATTCATTTGTCACTTCTAGGAGCCATTTGTGGAACAGTTCATGATTTTCACGGGCCTTGAACTTACGTGGTTCGAATGGATTACAAGGGTTCATTGGGGAGGGTTGCCTGATTTTTGTTTATGGATTTATAGATTTTCTTTTCATGACTTGCTAACTTTGTTTTGCATTCTTTGGGGCTTTCATGGTTAGCTTGCTTACCTTTATGTAAATCTCCTTGAATTTAATTTAAATGTTTTAATTGGCCTGAGGTTTTTTCATCTAAGAAAAGGGGTGGATCAGAGTTTCATATCATTTAAATTCCTTTTTCCAATAATGTTCTCCGATACTTGACTGTTGATTGAATAATAGTTTTAGTGTAATGGTAGAAAAGTTGTTATTAATGTGTCGTTGAGTTGGGGATTATAGAAGTATACTAACTTTTTTTTTTTTTTTCTGAATACAAGCATCTCTGGTATTGTCTATGTTTTTCTGTTATCCTGATTTATGGGGATAATGTAATGCTATAGAATTATTTGCTGTTGTGTCATGTGTTGTAGTCATTTTGGGTTTTTGCAGCTTTCACTTCCCTCTTGGTCCTTCTCCTTGTAAGGTGTACATTTTGTTTAAAATATTCCTTTAAATTTGACTCTACTGCATTTGGTCATTCTATGGCAACAACACTAATTCAACCAAGTCTTGTTTAATCATCAACTATTCCTTGGCAATAAATTGCTCAGAATATATTGGCTGATCCAAATAAGTTCTTGCTTATTTTTCTCTGTGAGAACTCAATTTCACCCGGCCTAAAGTTGATTATTGGGGCAGCCTCAAGGTTTTACATGTCTATAACTCATGTTTTAATTCAGGGAACTGCCCTAAATTTTCATATTCATTATGTTTTTCCTATCTAAAAATTCCATAGAATAGATCTAAATTCCTTTCTCTTTTTTCTCCCTTGATTTTCCCTTTTCCTCTTGAAACTTCAATATGATGTTTTGGCCTGTTGTGAAGATTTATGCAGTTGGCTACATAATTCACATGTTGAATTTGAGTTGGTTTATTTTGCATCTAGGGGCATTATCATTGTGAAGTTGCGTCGTGGGCAAGAACTGAGGCTTAGAGCAATAGCCAGAAAAGGGATTGGCAAAGACCATGCAAAATGGTCACCTTCTGCAACTGTCACTTTCATGTACGAACCAGAGATCCACATCAATGAAGATTTAATGGAAACTCTGACGCTTGCAGAGAGACAAGCCTGGGTTGAAAGTAGTCCAACCAAAGTGTTTGACCTTGATGAAGCTACTGGACAGGTTGAAATCCCTTTATAAAAATTACTCTAAATAGTCTTAGGCAGCTTCATATGTTCTCCTTGTATGTTACAGTTAAAAGATGCCTGTTGTTGCAAGAGGTAATTCCAGTGTGAAATTGTCATTTTGCTCCTAGAAGACATAAAAAACTAACTTCACTCTTATCTGAAATGTCTGATATGAATAACAGTTAGAGATATTCCCAAGATAGAGGAAAAGGTAGACCTAGATGCGGAATGTTTATTCTTTTTATTTTATTTTTGAGCGGTTTACATTGGTGAATATGAATATTACATTGCAGAAACCTTTGTGGGCTCTTTTCTGTAATATCATAGCATCATTCTATTAGGTTCCATTTTTTTCCTTGATATTTTAGTGTGGTAAATTAAGAAATTTAAATAAGCTATTGCCCTGTGAGAGCTGCAACTTGTTTGTAGACCGCTTTAATCTCTTTTTTAGAGTTTGGGATATTTGAATGTGTTAATTGTATTATTTTCTTCCATATATTTTTCTATTCTTTTTTCTAGATCATTATATGATACAGTTAATATGAACGACAGCAACAAGGGGACAAGATGTTAAAGTAGGGAATTTATTGGAGTGGTAAACAGCTCTGCTTGTGTGGTGGTGTGTCGCTGAGTGAGATGGAGTGCTGCAGTAGAAAGAAAATGCATATTTTCAATTGGGTATAGTGACTGGAGAAGAAGAAAGTTTATTTCTATCTATGATGGCCTACATCTGAGGCATTTTATTTCAAGGGGATATGAAGGCATTATTGGGAATGGTAGGATTTTTAGCTTGTGGATGCCGTTATTTTGGGTTTTTCCACTGAACTTGCATGCAATATGTAGTGAAACATACTCAATATTAGTAATCACGGGAGCACACCTGTTTAGGATAGAAACAATAATGTGGCAGTTATAAGCATGATGCATGATGTTGTGGATAAGTCAATGTGATTTTCGCTTGGAAGGTTAATACTTAGTATTTTCGGGGCCTGGTTTACTTGTATTTATCTTATTATCTGCCAAAATTCCTATGTATCATTATTCTAATTTGCTTAAGATGTAATCTATTCCTTCAACAATTTTCCTCTGTAAAATTATGATCTAACCTTTTGAAGTGATTCTAAAAATTTATAGGTTGTAGTGGTTGATAATGAGGCATACACTTATGATGAAGAAGTGATTAAGAAGGCAGAAGCCATGGGGAAGCCGGGACTTGTAGAGATCTATGGCAAAGAAGACAGCTTTATATTCACTGTGGAATCTACCGGTGCAATTAAAGCTTCTCAGATGGTACTGAATGCCATAGAAGTTCTGAAACAAAAGCTGGATGCAGTTCGTCTGTCTGAAGATACCATAGAAGCTGATGATCAGTTTGGTGAACTTGGAGCACATATGCGAGGAGGATGATTGTATTAACTTCAACTCGTTTTGGTTGAAATTGACTTGACAGATACGAAATCACTGATTTGCCAAAGCCTGTAAGCCAAACATTAAAATAGATCTTATGCCGGTGCTACGATTTAACCATGTTGAAACTGTTTACATGTTTTACTGTATATTTTCCTTCTTAGAACTATTCTATGGCTATTCTGGTCTCATTTTGACCCTTCTGAGATGTTATGTTTTTGGTGTATTCTGTTTCACGGGTTTTTGTTCCGCATTGGACAAAATTCTGTGCCAACATTCTCATTGTCAAGTATGATTCATCGCATGTATAAAATTATTCTTTTTGTTAGGGAAAATGAAGCAGCATCAGCCACAAGAGTGCTTTTTGACTTCTTTTCAAAACTTTAATGGTGGTCCATCACAATTCTTTGAAAACCCAAGGGTGGTTTATAAAATTAGTCCTTTTACAATAAGTTGTTTGAGATGAGATAAATATTTTGGAATTGTTTGGGGGTGGCAGAGTGATAAGTTGGTTTAAAAATTGTTGGCATTACATGAGATGCTCATTGGCTAGCATCAACACATTAACTATTTAACAGAAGTTGCACCAAAAATAACTACAATTACATAAGAAGTTGCATCTTTTTCACATACATACCAAGGTTCTAGTTGCCAATTAACATTCATTCTGACTTGGGTAGGGAGGCCCCATTTGGGTCATCACTCACCATTTCCCACCACCACCTCTATTCGCACGGCTGACTCTTCAAGCCGGATTTCTAGTTGATTTTGTTGCCAGAAATTCCCCTTACACTACCATCACACTCCCCACAACCCACTCTACAAAACCAGCACCCCTATCACTATCCCTTGCTCGTCGATCACCAACCGTACACCGCACGACCTTTCAACTTCTAAGCTGATTTCCTATCGTTTTCAATGTCGGAAATCGTCCTTGCCACCACCAATCGATTCCCTGGATCTCCTCTCCAAAAGCCCCAACAGTCCCAATCCCATTTCCTCACCAATCGTCGGCAATTGAAACTTCCCCACCCTAGGGCTTTTTGAGTTTTGATAGATTGACTGGGTCTGATTCATTTGGTTTTTGCGTTTGTTGGGTTAAAAGACAATTGAGGAATGTTTATTTGCAGTATTTGTAATTTGTCATCAGCACTCCCCAACACCGGCAGTAATTGTCAGCAATGGAAGAGGATAAGAAGAGAAGAAAAAAAGGGAGGTTTTTTTTTTTTTTTTTCGTAAATTACTATATTTCCCACCTAACCTAGAGGAAAACATAATATTTTGGTAGTGAAAGAGTATTTTAAAAGTGGACAGGTATAAATTTGTCAATGAACCATTTTTTGGGTGGGAACATGTCGGTAAGTCTCTCTTGGAACCCAAGGCCATAAACTCCACTGGCCGACAACATTTTCTTCTCTTGTCCCTTCTTGTAAATGCCATTGTAATCCATCTCTACATGTCTCTTCTTGCATAGGCATTATTGGAACTGAAGAGATGGATGACAATTTATGACTGGCACCAGAAAAACAAAGCGATAGAGAGAGAAAGATTTTTAACTAGGACGACTGCCAAGTGCCAATAATGTCCCCGAACACCCTATTTAGAGATGGCATTGGCAAAAGCATCTGTTGCACTTGGGCCCTACTCTTCTTAAAGATGGGGTTGTTCAAAAGCGGTTAACGGAAGAAGTTAACTGTTTTTTTGAACCAAACCGGTTTTTCGGTTCAGAAAAATTCCCAAACCGAAATCGAACCAGGTAACGGCTTTAAAAAAAAGTGTTAACTGGTTTTGAACCGGTTTTCCCTTTTTTTTATAAAACTTATTTTTTTTTCTAAATTAAATTGTAAATATAAATAATACATATCCAAATAAAAATTAAACATTCATACAAAAGTTTGGTTAACCTCTTTTTACTTTTTCTCGAACCGGTAACCAAATCGAAAATTTGGTTTTTTGAATTTTTCGAACTGTAACCGAACTGTTTTTTCAGTTAACTGGTTTTTTGGTTCGATTTACGATTCGGTTACCGATTCGATTCCGTTTTTGAATTTTTTTGAACACCCTACTGAAAGACCCTATTTTAATGAATTTGATTTGGGCTCTTGGAGACCCGTTTTTCCACGTCGGCAGTCATTGAGCTCCTCAGGGTTTCAGTTTCAAGCTGTGTCTGCTCAAAGCTGAACTTGAGCCTGCATTTATATGCTCCCACTAGCTAATTTACTTAATTCATTTTATCAATGTTTTGTGTTTATAATTTGGTTTTGTTTTTTGTTTGTGTGTAAGCTTGGAAAGGGATTAAATTTCTCAAGTTCTCAGAGGACGCTTGAATTGCTGAAATAAAATCCAATGTTTCAACATGAGAATGCAGTAGTTTCAACACTTGATGGCTGAAGTTAACGTGGTTGTGGACATGAATACATTAATAAAAGTACTTACTAAGTGAAAGGCATTCTTATATTGGCTCTCAACACAGTAAATAAGGGTTAAGTAGATAAGAAATAGGTAAAAATTGAAGTATTCAGTTCATTCTCATGATCTAATTGTGTTCTAAATTATAAAATATGTATAAAAATATGGAATTGACAATAATCTTGATATCAGTACGGATGTTCGGTAAGTGCTACACAAAGAAGGATCAACTGTTAATGAAATCACCAAGAGTCACTTTTAAGTGCAAGTTAGACTAGGTTTTTGGATAGAGAACGACAACCGATTCTTATTGTCAAGTATGAATATGGCAATCACAAATGGCACTAAATAGATGATGAAGAAAGCAATGGCTTGCAACGCTATGAAATGCAATTTGTAAAAAACCTGAAAGAAAGAACAAGAGAAAAAGTTATAAGACTACATCATACAATAATTTGATGTAGGGTTCGCCTACAATGTCTCAAAAGTATTGGTGATATAACATTCGAATAGTAATACATCCGTCATTCTCTTCCATTGTTCATAACCGTTTGTTGTTATCAGTCCATCATAATAACAATCACTATTCACCCTGCAAACTATTTCATCTTAATGTGAATCACTCTTCACCATTGCAAATGATCATTATGATACTATCATCTTAATACTGATCACCTTTCACTATTACAATCAACACTATCATCTTAATACCAATCACCTTCACTACTACAAATGACAGTTTCATTGAGATTTACTACTTCATTGTGAAAAGTTACTACTTATATAATTTTCATTAGTCCAAGATTGATCAATTTGCAATTACAAGTCTATCCTGAAAAGTTATAGGTCCATTGTTATAGAGAAGTTATAATGATAAGAATAGTGAAAGAGGTACAGTTTAACCACTCCACACTTTAATCTATTCATGTTCTATTGAAGTGGTACTTGCCATTTAAGAACAAGAAGACGTTGCTTCAGATTCTGATCCTGTTGATTGAGACCAAGTTGCTTCAGATCCACTCCTTCATCTTGCTCTTGAAACAAACCAGAAAAAATAAGACAATTTCATTCATTTATGATCAAATTTGAAGAAGAAGAAACAAAATTACCTCTAACCAACATTGCAAGTAGTAATTCCAAGTTGCCTTCTCATTCTCATCTTACTTAACATCAAGCTGCTTCTTCAAATCATCCTTCTTCCACTGAACCAAAACAAGCCAGAGTCGAAAACCAAATTGCAGACCATGCCATCTTCACACTTCTTTTATGCTAAACAAACAAGAACCGCGAGTGTCCCCATTTTCTGCACGCCAAGAGATGGTAGAAATACTAAACACATGGCTGAAAATTCTCAATTCCGAACTATTTGAAAACCTGCAATGTACCAATAATCTGAACATCAAAATGAAGTATAAATAAATTACTGAAAATTCTTTGAAGAAACCCGCTCCACCATTTGAGTGAGCTCTCTCTTGTGGAAAGAAAGCTTCACAAAAAGGGGTGTAAGCTCTGTGACCCATGGAATTCAAGACTGAATTCATCTTTGGAATCCATGAGTGGAACCCCTGGTTGATCTTTGGAACCGTGCAAACAGTAGGAAAATAGTAAGAATGTATATCACTATAGCAATGTTACAATTACCGAAAAAATACATCGAATTTACGCACTAACATACGTGGCATCATTTGCTTTTCTTAAAAAAAATTTCATAATTAATGGACGATCAAGATGGTGCCATGTCTGTCGATGCGTGAATTCGGTGTATTTTTTTCGGTAACTGTATCATTTTTCACTAGTAGGTGACTAGATACTTGGAATCGACCCAAGGGTAAATTGGTAATAACACAATAGAAACAACACAAGGGTAAATTGGGAATAACAAACCAGAACCAAGTTCCACCAAGCATAAATACATCAGACCAACTCAGAGGCTTTTGCCTTTTGGGGTTTCCAGAAGGCCGAACCACATCTTCTTCCCACCCGAAGTTTGCCTTGACGACAATTTACTACCCACAAACTCATTAGTTTAAGAATAAGGCTTTGCTCTCGAAGGGTCATTGTCCCTTCCCTTTGATTTGTCAGTGAAGCCAGTGATTTGCACAGGCAAGGTTACCCACCATCACCAACAGCAACATTACCATTCTTAGCTTCCCAACAGAACAACACAAGCACAACACGCTCTGATCTCTTTCTCTCTCTCTCTGTCTCTGTCTCTGTGACGAGGCTGTGATGATGACGCTTGTTTTCTATGTGAAATGATCCGACGGTGGGGAATCCTTGCTCATCATGGCCAGGCGGCTTCTGGGTATTTTTGAAAAGTGCTTGTTGCTGCGGCCATGGTGGTAAAGTTTCGATCTTTGTCTGATAAAAGGCGAATCTGAGCCACTTTTTCTCTTGGGTTTCTGGCAAAGTAATGACACTCTTCAGATTGAGGTTATTGTGAAATGGCCGAGAGTCTCTGTCTTTCGTTCTCTCTCTCTCTCTCTCTCTCTCTCTCTATATATATATATATATATATGTTATTGATATACATATATGCACCAAAATGACCTTTTTGCTTCAAATAATTCATCCCAAGTCTCTCTCTCTCTCTCTCTCTTTCTTCAGAGGTGAATGCAATGAGGCTGTGAAGAAGTTTTCTGGCTTTGAGTTGGGCTCTTTCTTGGAGACCCGTTTCTTGGCGGGGCAACCCGGATACATCTCCATGACAGTTGCAGCCATTGAACTCCTCAAGGGTTTCACTTTCAAGTTGTGTCCAGTCAAAGCTGAATGTGAGTCTCGA